CTAAGCTGCATTCCCACTCTGCCTCCTGCATACCAAAGTATCCACATCTAAATATGAATGTGCGCATGTGCATGTTCACTGTGGGTTTGTGTGGCGTCCACATTTGCGTGTGAAGGTCAGAGGAACCGTGCGGCACAGTGTCGGGTAGCAGCAGCAGGTTCAGGTTGGTGCAGACTGATCTCACCTGTTAGTGCAGACCGGCAGCAGTGTGGACACGCGGTTATCATCCAAAGAGATGAACAGTCAGCACCTAAATCACAGGTACATTGGTCATAAAAACTGCAATATCCCAGTTATAAAGTGAAAAAGAGACCGGAATTGAAGATTTAGTGAGGAGGAACAGGTCACAAGCTGTTGCTCTTCATGGATACACCGGTTGGTTCTGAAATATTTGGACATTCACATTTTGTATGGCTCTGCAAACCAGCAAAAGGAATGGAAATTTCCTGTCATAAAAACGGATTTAGTTTAAATCCAGTTGTTGTTGTCCTTATGCACTGTTTAAAAGTCCATGTACAAAAATAGGGCTCTCATTCCCACAGAGGAGGAGAACAGAGTGGCAAATAAGCACTCTCAAACAGCCTTTAAGCCAAAAGTCAGCATTTTAATCTCTGTTATTGCTTCATTGCGACTCCATTTGCTGGAGTGCAAAGCCAAAACAGCAGGAAGAAAAAGTGCCACTGCCCCAATACTTAGCAGCTGCACCGTACAGAACTACAACCCCAGTAATAATCGTGGAATTGAATCAGCCTCTCTGTGCCAATGTCTCTGGCTGGTATTTGGCAGCGCTTCCATTTAGAAACCACTTGTATCCAAGGCCAGCCTACAAACACGCACCGTCGCACTGAGAATAAAAGCTAAGGCATGAAACAACGGAGAAGAGAAACATAATCTGATGGATCATCCTTTTACAGTTTCAAACACCCAGGTTCTTGTTTGGGTGGAAGTTACAGCATGCGTGTCTTATGGTTAAACGTATGGTGGTGAATATGTAATGACATACACACTCAACATGCATTTATTATGAGGCGAGGCATTTTATGGCACAAAAGATGATGCGCACAACTGAACATAAATAAGTGGTGTAAAAACCTGCCTTTCTGTAAGCATATGATCTCAACATCCCTATACCACTTTGTTTCATTTTTAATGGACATATTATTGTGCATCAAAGATCATTTATGCCTGTGCGTCGAGCCGAAGAGAATTAGAGCTTTCAATGCAAATGATGTTTGATTACCTTTTTTACATTATTTTGTGTAAGCAATAATTAAGCCACCAAAACGGTGTAGGTGATTATATACACTGCAGACGAGGGCTGCACAATTAATGGAAATGTGATCGAAATCATTATTTGGGCTAGAACAATATACAAATAGCAGGAAGCTTAACATTTAGTTACAGGCAAAATATGTAAATATTATTCTAAATTAAGTATTTTGGAGCTGCATAGATGTCGTAGCCTACAAATCGTATTCTTCAGACTTAATTCATATATTTATTTACAAAAATCACACCATCATATCGCTATTTCAATATCAGTAAAAAGTAAACTAATTAAGCTCTTTCTTCCAAATTGTGCAGCTCTACTTCATACATTCTTTGTTTTGTGACCAAACAACATCACGGTTGAAATCCAACACTTGTCAAGTCATCACATTAGGAGGTGGGATGGGATCTATTCTGGTTCTCCTGTAAGAGAAAGGTCCATACGGCCTGTATCAAAGCTATTATTCCCCACGAGGAAATAGGGTGGGCAGAACAATAACATAAAGAAAGGAAATTGAGCAATTCTTCCAAAGCTGGAAGAATAATGAAAGCCAAGAACACTTATTGAGACAGCAATGCACTAGAAAGGCCAAAGAAAGCACACTCTTTTGTACTCTCACAGACAGGGAAGCAATCTTCAGGAACACGGAGAACGGCAGAGCTTCATCCTGGCCCTCCTGACAGCGCACAGCCACTAGCCTGATGAGATGGCAGAGAGTCAGTGAGCTCTGAAGGCCATTAGATATTTTAGGTGATGGCCTGCTCTCCCTGTCCCCCTGACGTTGTGCTATCCTCCACTGTAGCGAGGCTCAGGCAGAGGACATGAATGCCATTAGGCGTCAGAGTTAGCCAGGCAGGCGGACACAGGCTGATAAGCGTCTGCTCGCTTTTTAAGCTCCATTGGGCTGCAGAGGAAATTAGGATTTTGAGTTTTTATCCGTCTTTTTTTTCTTTACTCTCTCCGGCTTCCTCTGGCTCATTCAGTCTGTTTTTCTGCTTCTTCTTCACTCACATTCTCTTCCTCACGGCCACTGTTTCACACAAGGTCAGGTGTGGAGTCTCTCCTGCCTCACACCTCCCGTCTGTTCTCCCCTCTCCTCGCTCTGTTTCTCTCCACCTGTACTAACCCCCCCCTCCACCCACCCAGTCGTCTCCATTTTTAGGTTCTCTGTTTCACCTACTTCCTCTCTCACTTCTCTTGTTTCTCTCTCTTCCGAATGTCTCTCTTTTGTCCCTCAGCTGTCTCCTATTAACCTTGTTTATCGCTCACACCGTCTCCCCATCGAGATCCTCCTCCTCTCTCCTCTTCTCTCACCACTCTGTCTTTGCACTCCCCCTTTCATTCTCTATTCCTGGCACCATGCTCTCTTCTCACACTTTCATCCCCACTTTCCCAGCCACTTCCCCAGCCCCCTCCTCTCATCCTCCATCACTTTGGCATTCCCAGACTGTCTCTGCTCTTCCATCCTTCGTGCACACTTCCTCTCTCCTCCTTCCTTCCTGACTCATTTTCCTCTCCACAGACGAAGGGTGGGAAATATGGAAATGTCACCGTGACCGGGAGGGGGATCAGAGAGGACGGCGTTAATATGCCATCAGCATGTGTGTGCACATCATGTGCGTGTTAAAGACATAATGATAGGTGACAGTACTCGGGACGGTGGCATCTGAATACTCGAGGACGCTGAAGAGGACAGTTTGCGTGGGCCTGCGTTTGTTTGGTAGCGTTATTCCAATGGCACCTGCAGGCAGCGCTGCTACTGTAAAGTAGAGCAGCGGTGACACAAGGCTTCTGTTCTCCCTCTCCTCCCCACTTTCTCTCCCCCCGTCGCTCCTCCCCGCCTCAGTCTTACCCTTGAACCGTCTTTTATTCTCTCATTCCCTTAGTTCCTGTCTCCCTCCACCTCCTGTCTCTCTCTCTCTTCTGTTTTAATACGACCGATGCTCTCTCAATATTTATACTGACAATTACTATTTCAAATGCCGCCTTGCCTCAGTATTTAGGAAAGGCTGTCGTGTTCAAGCACACGCACGCACACGCCGACTTTTCCTTTCTGTGTCTGCTCTTCTAATGACACGGATTCTCTGAGACTTCAGGGCTGGGATTTAGGGACCATCGTGGAGGACGAAGACGTGTGTGAAGACGTGCTTGTGTGTAATATTCATTTCCCCGGCGGGGCAGTTTGAAGTCTCATAAGGCCAGCCTGTCTCTCATCTGAGCTCTGCAGGATCTGACCTGGGTTGGCTCTCCTCTTATTGCTTAAGAATCACAGACAACAGGCTCTGCCCCCGCATCACAAGCTGTGCACGCGCTCCTGTGTTCATTTGAATGTGCTCACAAGGAAAACCTGAGGCGGAGCAACTTATCTTCAGTGGCACATTGTGTAATGAACTTTGACATTAGACCATACTCTCAACAAGATTAGTAATCAAGGGTTTCAATAACCCTTCATTTTGTTCCCATTCCCCAAGCTAATCTGTTTGAATAGTTAAGATAGATTGACAGAGGCTTGTTGCTCCGTCTTTACTAAACACTCCAGGCGTTGGAAAGATCACAGGTCAAGAGATCGGTAATAAAGCTGTCATTAGCTTTTATGTGTGCTCTTGCACAGATATGTATGTGAGAAATAGAGAATAAAAAAAGCAATCTGTTCCTCTCTCCAGCCCGATGAGGCTCTCTGGCTCCCACAGGCTGCTTAGTGGTTGTCCAGAGGTTCCTCTGTGGCTACAAGGGGGTTGTTTTGTGGTTGTAAATTGGGCTGGTCCTGTGAGAGCTGGTGTTATTCTAGGCTTGTTTTCCGCCACTTTCCCGCTCAAGTCTTTCTTCTCCTTCCTCTCTCTTCTCTTCCTCCGTATTGATATCTCAGATCTCCCTTGAGTAGAGAAGCTGAGGTGTTTATTGCTCGTCAAAAGAGAAAGACAGCACTGGCCTTTCCCTCTTATCTACTAGCCCATGGGTTTCATGCGTGTGGGTGTTTTGTATCAGCCCTGCAGATCATATTACTTTCAACACAACAGCTTTGGCTCAGCACAAACGGGTGGAACCAGTTCGGCGAGTAATTGTTTGTCTTTAGGGTAAATTGTGTTTCTCTGGTGCTGTTGTATGTGTGTATCCTGCTGGTGAACACATTGTGAGCACACAGAGCCCTGGCTGCAGACATTTGAAGTTGTGTATCAGCAGGTAATCCACTGTTACTTAAAACAGGTGCCATCTCACATACACTAATGCGCGCTTACTCATACACGTAATTACATTTTCACAGGGACCTGGATTACACACACATATATGCACACACGCGTGGCACTTTCAGTTTCTCACACCCACCGACACAAAGCACTAAGAAAAGCATATTTATTTTCACTCTTTGCTGTAACACAGGAATGTGTCGGCACAGCAAATGGCAGGCTATAGAACAGCATGAACCATCCCTGTGATTTATGACCTATGTGCAAAAGAGAAGTGGCTTTTCTTCTCTCTTTTATTCCAGTACACATCTACTTAGTTTTTGTTTCGCTTATTCCTTTCACATGAAAAGTCATGGAGAGATATCAGACTCTTGGCCTACTTATGTTCACTAAAGCTGTCCTCTGTTGTAGCAGACACTTCCACACTGTCCTCATTTATCATCAGCAGGCTTTGTTCAAGCACCATTCCTCTGCTCCCTTTCCTCGCCTCCTACCCTAGTTAAGGACAGGACAGACATTAATGTTTCTCTCTCTTCCTCTCCTAGGAGTGTCGGGTCAGCGGGTGAAGGTGGAGCCCGAGGTGTTGTCTTACCCCGGCCAGACAGTCAACCTGCGCTGTGCCTTCACTGATGCCACTGGGATTCAGCTCACAATGGTAAAATAGAAACTGTCATGATGCAAGTTATCTTTCTTTTTCAGCTGGGATTTGATTTCTTCTTTTTACAACCGCACTCAAATAAGCTCTAAAATGAGTTTGCGGTATCGAATCAAATAAAATGTCTGATTCATCCCAAATTGCAGCTCAATGTGCTGACTTGACTCAGTACAATGTGATGAAATAGCTTGGGACTACAGTTTCAGTTTACACAGCGGCCATTAAGCAAATACACAATGTGGTATTTGAAAGATAAAGTATTTGTGTGTATCAACCTCATCCTGCAGGTGTGGGAATCTAAGTCGCACAGATGGAAAACATCAATTCATTGCAATGAGAATAAACATTAAACGATAATACAGGTCCATGTGCCTTGTTTACCTATCCCGTAATCTAGCAAATCAAAGCCCACAGAATTCATCCCAAGGCTAGTAATAGGTTTTTATCCCATTTAGGCGTAATACTTTATTATGCCATACAAACAATACTAAGCTTAATTTTGCTTTAGGGGATTCAATATGCTAATGAAACACTTCTTAGTCGCATCTCAATGAAGTGGGAAGTACACAACTGTGTTTGGTTCCGCTAAGAGTGGCTCGGAGAGAGTGCGGCTCCTGAAAGTCACATCCATATTCATACCTGCTCCACTTATTTGATTGGGATGCTGCCCTGTGGAGTTCACAGAGAAATGTCTTAAAATGCTCAGTGTGTGTTATCAATGGCGTGTTGAATGAGGCCTGATGTTTTTCACTGTACGCATCCTAACCACTGAGCCCCTTTAACGCAGGTCACCTGGATCTACGAGCCGAAGGATGGAGAGAGGATCAACATCGCCGTGTTTCTACCCAACTATGATCCCAACTACCCCGACTCACCGGTGAAGGGCAGAGTCAGCTTCGCGCCCAGCCCCCCCAACGTGGTCAGCCCCTCCATCGAGATCAGCAACGTGGGGATGACCGATGAGGGGAAGTACATCTGCGAGTACGCCACCTACCCCAGCGGCAACGAGCAAGGCATCACGCACCTCGTCATGCTGGGTGAGCCATGATCTACATAATGTGTATATAAAAAGAATATGTCAAGACGATCAGAATTCCTTTATTTGTCCCGCAACAGGGACATTTATGGCATTACAACAGCAAATTACAGTGTCTGTAGACAAAGGGTAGATTGATTGGTTATTATATGGCACACAATAGGTAAAAGCAGGGTAAACATAATTAAAATATTAGTAGCTGTATTTCTTACAAAAAACTGCCCATGAAAAAATATTGAAGTATGTTTACATATTGTAAATAACAATAAAGCGTAAATTGCTTGTGACTTTATATTGCGCTGAGCTGTTATTGCACATCAGATATATTAAAGTCTTTGTGAGACAAAGTCCAGGGTCTACTGTATCTCTATCCTTGATGTAGCAAAGATCTCCATAAAATATTGCATGAAAATTACAAATAATTCCTATAATGATTTTGAAAGTTGTGGGAACTTTTCATAAATGTTCTGGTCAAACTTATTTGAATTGACAGATCGTCCCTGATCCCTACAAAGCGGCTCTTTCTGACAGTTCTTTCTAATATTTAGCACCACAGTGGCTCCAGGCTGAAGACTTTTCTTTTTGTCACTGCTTTTAATTGAACTGTTCACATCTTAAACTGCACTGTAACTTTTATTCATGTATTTTTTCTTTTAATGTTTATTTTATTATCTTTTCTTTTTAATGACTGATTTTAAATGCTATTTTCTTAATCTCTTTCATTTTTTGTAAAGCACTTTCAATTGCCTTGTGTTGAAAGGTGCTATATAAATAAACTTGCCTTGCCTCATAATTGTACGGTTCTGTCTGTCGAGGCTAGCACCTTACAATTTTTTGAATAGTCTTCAAATTATACAACAGAAATACATATAGATGGATAGAAATATATAGTTTTTTAACATCACAGGCGGTCTTTGAAAAGTGATCAAATAGACAGTGATACACCGAATGGTATTTTTGCATATACCCATCCTGTATGTTTATCAACGTGTTCTCTTCGGTTCAAACCATCACAGGACTTTAAACACAAAGTCTGATAAATCTTCAATTTAACATTTCTGTTTTATTACATTAAGCCTAAATTGTTTTTTTTAGGGTAAACACACATGACCTTAACTAACTGCTCTGATTTGTAGTCTGCCAAAAAGTTTCCCCCAGACTTCTTTACCATGAACTTGATTTATTAGTCGAAGCAATTTTTAACAGGACGATCTCTCAACCCTCTTACTACATTTATATCGACAAAAAAAAAGTGTTTTCTGGTCAAAATCCTAGTTCTGTGTTTCATGGTTATTAATTGATTGATACATTTTATTTATTTATTTTAAGTAAAATAAAAAATTACAAAACAAATGTTGCAGTGCATCATGTAAGAGAAAAAAAAAAAATGACATTTACAACAACAGCATTAGCAACATAAACAGTGCCACATCTAGTGTTCGAAAAGGAGTGAGAAGAAGTATAAGTTATTTAATCTCACCCCCTTGTCCCTAAATGATTTATTTATAATCTATAATCTGCAATAATTATCATTGTTATTATTATTAATCTGCTTTACCTGTTGATTAACATATACACCTACATACTCACACACATATACACATAGTCAAACACCTTCCCCATCCCTGTACCTCGAGAAAATAATTTCTCCTCTTGACCTGGTTAATGTCTGGACATGGCTTTAGCTCCACATTCACACTGTCCATAGTCTCACTCCACAGGCTGAGATACACAAATATTATTTATTTTTATTTGTTTTTAAGTGGAGTTTTAGAGACTTGTTGAATCAAAATGCATTGATTTTTCCTTGAATCTGTTACCAATCTGTATGTACCAGGTGTTTGCATGTTAACCTTGCTTACTACATTATATACATGCAAAGTACTCTCTGCTTACCACTCTCTGTCAGTCTCTCTAACTCTCGCCCTCTCCCAAAGGTAGCATGCAGGTTAAAAGCATGTCTAGCTAGGCTTGATTGCTATTATAAGTGGTATTGTCAGATCAATTGTGTTCTTGTTAATGCAATGGAACCATTGGTCTAACCTTGGCCCGGCACCAGTGCCTCCGCTCTCTCTGCAGGCATCATGCCTCCCTGCCTCCCCCGAGGCTCCTTATTGATCTGGCTGCTTGTCATGCCGGCTGTCAGCTCCTGTCCTGCTCTCTCCTCTGATCCCTCACTCCTATCATGGAGGGGAAGTGAGGAAGGATGAGCAGGGAGGTAGAGTAGAGGGGGGTTGAGGGGATAACCGAGATCATGTAGTGATTTAGAATTTGTGTATGGAAATGTGCCGGACCTGTCAGAGAAATTGTTTATCAATGGCGGGTGATGGGGATGGAGAGGGAATGGATTAAAGAAACAGGGGGGAGAGTGAAAGAAGATTTAGGGTGTTTGCTCTGCTGCTTCTAAGTGTATCAATGTTGCCTCAGAGAGGAAATAGACAGAGAGGGAGAGAGGGTGAGTGGAGGATGTTTGGAGATTGAGGTTTTGGATTTGCTGGTGATTCAAATTGTTTATCGATAATGGTGAACATTATCTTTTCCCTCAGCTGTCTTATTTCCATTTGATCTATTTCTACATCCTTTAATCTTCTCTCTGCCGCTCTGTGTCTCTTCCTCCCTCCCTCCATCCATCAGCTAAGCCTCAGAACTCGGCCTCCATCGTGACCGTGGTGGCGGGCAGTAAGTCGGTCGTTGTGGCGCGCTGCGAGTCCGTGGACGGCCGCCCCCCTGCCAAGATCTCCTGGGTGACCGCAGTCAATGGCAACGGCACGACGGTTACCAAACCGGGCGCCGACAACACGGTGACGGTGATCAGCGAGTACCGCATGGTCCCCTCCCCCAAAGACAACGGGAAGGACCTGAGCTGCGTGGTGGCTCACAGGACGCAGGTCAAACCAGAGAGCTTCCCCCTGAAGCTGGCAGTGGAATGTAAGACACACACACACACACACACACACACACACACACACACACACACACACACACACACACACACACACACACACACACACACACACACACACACAGTTGTATTGTGTTGCACTTTTGGAGGAGCCTGTGACCTAAGATTTCCATTGTCATAACTACACTGTAGCTATGCACAAATGACAATAAAAGCCTTGAATCCTTCAACACACACACACACACACACACACACACACACTCTTATTGTTCCATGAATTCCTTTGCAGTCCAGCATGTTCCTTCTGTAATTTCTATGTGATTACATTAGATTAATTTTGTTTTGTACAAAGGAATCTTACATGACCTTGACTAACTGTTCTGATTTATCGCTTGCCAAAGAGTTTTTCCCCGGACTTTTATACCACGAATGGATTCATTAGTCAAAGAAATAATAACAAGACCTTTGCTAATTGCTTAACCTCTTACTACATTTATCAGCAAACAAAAAAACAGTCCTGGTCAAAATCCCCGTTTTGTGTTTCATGGTTCTGTCTCTCTAGTATAGCTTAAGAGACTTGTTGAATCAAAGAGTATTTTTAAGCCATTTTATGATTATAATTTCCCCCTGAATCTGTAACCACACACTTCACTTCATTCTTTGCAGCATGAAACCATGGAGTGATTAATTGAGCACATTTTGTTCCTCTTCCCTCCTGCCATTCACCTGTCGTTCCCCCAGACGCCCCTCAGGTGACAATAGTAGGTTACGACAATAATTGGTACGTGGGTCGTACAAATGTGGCGCTCACATGCCAGGCCACGGGAAACCCCACTCCGCTGACCGCCCAGTGGAAGACGTGAGTATCCACACAATCGTCATTTACATTTTCTTGTCTGTCTTGCGTGTTTGGTTGTTATTTTCCCCTCGTGTTCCCTTCCTCGCCCTCCACTATCAGGTCCACACAGCCGTAATCAGCGCTTTTTATTATTGCCACCACCACCACCGCCTTTTGCTCTGATTATGGAGATAGACGTATAATTTCTCATAATGGACTCGATTTAACCCTCGCATAATGACAAACACAATATGACTCAGTCTCTCCCTTATTTCCGTATTATCAGCTATCAACATAACTGAGACAACATTTGAAGACCTGGAAAGTCTGGTGTTGAAAAATGGGACGGATGAGATTTTGTGCTGGGGTCCAGCAGTTTTGATTTTCCTCATGTCCCCATCGTGTTTTCCTCCACTGTGTGATAATAGATTGCCTTTTGAGGAAGGGGGAAACTGATTGGTTTTGCACTGCTGATCAAGATTACCCGAATTTGATGACTGTGCACAATACAACACATTTCTGTAAATGTACATCGCTCTCAATGCTTTTATAAAGTCAAACAAACCACAACTCCTTTTCTCAAGCTTCATCCTCCCCTTTTCCCTCTTTTCAATCCTCATGCCGATTTGGCTATTTTACTTGCATCCTTTGATTATTATAACCCTTTATGAACGCACAGTTAGAAATACACTACATGTATACAGTGTTGTACATTTAACGTTTTTAGACTGTGTAAATATGCACATTGACATTTAATTGTATCTCGTTGCACTGTCATCGCTACTACTTCTACTTTTACCACTCTTATTTATTTGTGTCGATTTTTTGTTTTTTTACTGCAGTGAGAGTTGCCAAAGAAATTTCGTTGTACCTTGTATGATGACAATAAAGATATATTCAATTCTATTCTATTCTCGTGCCCCCGCAGGATGACGGGAGAGATGCCCGACACGGTGCAGATCACAGAAAACGTGCTGAAGGTGCTCAAGGTGGACGACGCTGTCAACACCACTTTTGTCTGCCAGGTCAAGAACCGCATCGGGCTGGGCAGGGATCAGGTCGCCGTCATGGTCAGAGGTGAGTTCAAGGACACAGACTCAAACACATGTCTAATTACATTACACACAGTCCTCATTTAACACGTCAACCTGCTTGGAGAACAAACTGTAACACAAGAAACACGTAATGAAAGTGTTCCTTGTGTGCACTTCTCTTTTATGAATTTGCATTAGACTCCTGTCATCACAAATCCACCCATTTGCTGCTCCTAAGTAGGTTAAAGCTGAGACAAAGTGTATTCCGCACACAATGTCCCAACACACAGATGAATTGGACTCAATAAACTCGTCAGTAAAGCAGTGAACATTTCAGGAATGAAATGAAAAGCACATTTGTGGCTCACTTGGTCCTCGCTCATCATCTAAAGCTTCCCCCGGCTTGTATATACAAATATTTCTATCATCTGAACTGATGAACGAGAACCGAGCTCACTTTCACCACACATGCCACACGTCTCCTGGTGTGCTGTGCTCTCATGTTTTCCCCAAGGACACACACCTTGTTCTGCCTCACATGAACACGCACGCTGAGTCTGGGGTGTGTAGTGTAGGGTTAGAGGGTCCAGCTGCTCTGTCCGTGTGTGTGTGTGATTGTTATGAGCGTGAATATGTATGTGCATGCCTTTTCGTGCTTTTGGGTTCTCCCTCTCAACTTTCCCTCTCTCTTTATCTCTGCTCCCTATTAAGAATGCGTGTCACTTTTCTACATCTCTTTGCACGCACTCGATAACACTGCATTATCAAAGTTTCTCTGCCTCAGCGGTACCCAAGGTCGGCCGAGCCGCTTTGTACATCAGATGGCATTTACTGAGCCGCTTTTTCCACAAGGTTTTTAGCCGTAGTTCACACAGAAGAGATGGTATTTTCACTTTTCATTCTAGTTTTCTAAAAATGAGAGCGCAGTTCCCCCCCCCCCCCAAAGTCACGATCACAAAGGCAACCGAGTGGCTTCTCAGCAGTACTCTTGGCCATCGCTGATCAAAGGAAAGACCAAAGCAAATGAGCAGTGTTCATTCAGATTCAGAGACTTGAAGAAAAGGCTGCAATTAGTAAAAGCGATGAATATAACTCAATGTGACACTGTTGACTTTGAAATCTTGTGTGTGTGTGTGTGTTGTGTGTGTGTGTGTGTGTGTGTGTGTGTGTGTGTGTGTGTGTGTGTGTGTGTGTGTGTGTGTGTGTGTGTGTGTGTGTGTGTGTGTGTGTGTGTGTGTGTGTGTGTGTGTGTGTGTGTGTGTGTGTGTGTGTGTGTGTGTGTTGCAATACTTGTGGGACCTACATCTGTCTACACAGTCACGTGTGGGGACTCGCCTCCCTCATGGGGACAAAATGGAGGTCCCCTTGAGGGGAATCAATAATTTTAGGATGAAGACTTGGTTAGGGTTAGGCATGTGTTGGTTATGGTTAAGGTTAGGATAAGTCTCCAGGAAATGCATGTAAGTCAATGTAATGTCCCCTGAAGTGGTGTGTGTGTGTATATTTGTAATGCATTCAGGTGTGCTGTGTAGCTTGCTGTACCACCTCAGGTCTCTGAGTTAAACCGTCCATAGCAGGGCCAGTCATGATGGAAAACAGTCGATTCCTGCAGCCCCTTCTGTTCCTCAATCGTTTTAGCAGAACCCCTCAACAGAGCTCACTCCCGACTTTCCCCTCATGCAAAATACATCCCACTCCACTCTTGGGCCTGCACTTAACCGGAAGTTATTTTCTGCTGACACCTTGCCCCCTATCACCTTGCCTATAATGGGGGCGAAAAGTGCATTTCTCTGGTGCCTTTAGTTTAAGAGCACTCCTTCATGCCCTCGTTTTATCTACCGTGTTTTTCCTGTCCTCTTGCTCAGTCTCTCCTTATTTCCACTTTTTTAATTTATCTCTCACCCCCATCTTACTTCAAGTCCCTTGGCTCGTTACGGCGCCTCAGCATGCGTCACCACTCATTCCTCTGGGGCCATTCTGTACCGCTGCACAGGAGCGTAACCGGCTTCTGTTGCACAAAGGATGTCACCATCTCCTGCCGTGTATTACAAGCAACAAGCAGGGAAGATACAACGATCCAGGGAGCAGAGGAAGGAAGATGAAGGCTGCCGCTTTTAGACTTTAAGAAGCCAGAGAACGTGCACCGGGATAAATCAGTGCCAGCATGCAATCCCCACACTAAGAGAGCGAGGCATGGGGGATAGAGGGGGAGAGAGCGTGTGCTGACGGCATTTAAAACTCCCATGAGAATCTTGTGCCACTGCATCCTATCTCCACTGCTCTTGGCCTCCACTATCTCTCAGCAGAGCGTGCGTCTGTCTGTCTGCAAGCCTCTCAGAGCGGATCAGTCACCCTTTGCTGCTTCAGCTCCTCGCTTCCTCTCCCTCTGCCTTCTATCCTCCATTTCAACTCCTGTTCTTCATCCCTCTTTCCTCTCATCCCCTCTCCTTCATGTTCTGGTGTCTCTGGTCTCTTCTAGTGTTCAACTTCCAACAGTTCCCTTGTCCTATCATCTCCCTCCTCCATCTCCTCCTCCCTGCTTCCCACTCCTCTCTTACTCACCGGCGAAGGAGGAGGATAAGACGCAAGCTAAAACTCGCTGGCAGTCGAGAGGTGACTGAGGCATTCGGCAGAGTGAAGGAGGGTTTGTAGAAGGCATGGAGAGGGCGAGAAGTGCTCTGAAAGAGATTGACTTTCCATCAGAGCGAGTGAAATGTAAGAGTGGATGGTGGTGGCATCGGAGCGGGTGAAAGATGTGGAATGACTCCAGATGGGAGACCTGTGGAGCCTAATGTGAATGCGTGTAGACAAACAGGGCTAAGAGGGGCCGACAGGCGTGAAATGGTCAGCACCTGCTACATAGCTGGTGCCTCTCTCCTCTCTACCCCACAGCTGCATGACACACACACACACATATATAATACGGTGTGTGTGTGTTCCCGTGTCCTCTGCCCTCAGTCTCGTCCTGTGCTCCCGGAGGCTCAGAGAGGGATGGATGTCCTCTCTTCTCCTTGCCTCTCCTCCTCTCATCTTCGATCCCGCTGCTTACTCACACAAACCGAAGCATCCCACTTTCGATGTATCTCTCCCTCGCTATCTCTTTCGCTGCAGTTTGCTCTTTTCATTGCATCTCTCATCCTCTCAGTTAGCATATGCTCCCTCCTCATCCTCCTTATCTCTCTCAGGTTGTCTTTCAGCCTCCGCAACTCTGGCGCTGCTCTCGGCTCAGTTAAGAGACTCCTGCCCACAGCATTTTCTCTCCCTCTCTTCTGCTCGTGCCCTGCTATCTCCCTCTCTCTTTTTAAGCTTAACTCCTAAATACCAGTAGCTCTTCTTTAATCACAGCTTAGTAGTCTCCATCCTTCCATCCATCCCTTTTTCCCCCAGACTCCTCTCTAGGGGGGTTCTTGTGTGGCTAACCTAGATTTCCTACATCCCCCCCTCTCCCATCCTTCCTCTCAGCTGAACCTCATTAAGTTAAAATCTCCCCAATTAAACCTCCCAACACATCGTCTGAGAGTCTCCTAAGGATTTCCTCTTCATTTGGGGCATGCTCTCCGGTAATCAGAAACATCTGAGGAGGCGGTTCATCAGCATGTGGCTCTGACATTTTCCATCCACTGGGTCTGGGTTTGTGTGGCTGTATCTGTCTGTGTCTGTCAGTGTGTTTCTCCGGCCATGCGAAAACATCCAGAGAACAGGTCTGATGGAGCCAAGTCTCCCTGCAGCCTGCTACTGGCCCCCTGCCCATCCCTCATTAGTACACACTCTGACACACTCTGACACTCTGACACACACACACACACACACACACACACACACACACACACACACACACACACACACACACACACACACACACACACACACACACACACACACACACAGCAATAAGTTAACATGCTGACAGAGATTACTAATAAACTATGCTCTAGGTGTAGCCCAGCCCAGCGTCAGCCCACTCATGACCAAGATGGTGTGTGTGTCTGAGAGTGTGTGTGTTTTTGGGGAGGCTGCAGTAGAGTTACTTTCGCTCCATCTCTCATTACTTGCGGTCACTTGGAGCTCACGGTCTTGCTGGACGTGACTTCACAAGACGCATGATTCCACAGTATGTTGTGTGCGTGTGTGTGTGTGTGTTTTGGGGAAGGGTGGGGTCCTGTAGCATGTTTGTTTTTCTATTTCTTTCTCCCCTTGTTGTACACGCAGCATGCATATTGCAGTTATTTTCGGCTGGCTCATCCAACATCATGTGTTTTATAAGATGTCCTCTCCTCACCCGCTGAAATGTATTCCATTGGAGCTGCGTTAGTATGCATCTGATGCTGCGGTGGGCCTGTACTGGGAGCGTGGGGTCGCTCCTTTTTACATCTATCTCTTGAATCTTTAAGTGTTGTCTCCAGATTAAGGTTGGAATAAAACATGAATTATCACCCACAAAAGGATTTACCAGCATCGACTTTGAGAGAGACACTTGAGAAGTGGCATGAGCGACGCATTAAAAATAATAGGATGAGAGGAATTTAGGCAGAATTTGCATTTAAATTTCATTGCAATTCCCATTGATGTGACGACGATGTGCGCCAGCATCCGGGCCCCAAGTTTCGAGTGTTTCTACGTTGCACGTGCCAGAGCTCCACGGAGCCCGAGGTGATAATGCATTTCTTGTGTTCCTGTTGGACGTGGACACTGAGCGCTAGCTCTCACTCTTGTGTGTGTGAACTGCAATGTTTAGCACTGCTCAAGGCAAGGGGCAGGGGGGGGGGGGGGCGGGCACTGGTTCGGAGTGTGGTGGTTTGCTCGGGGAGGCTGGTGGGAGAAATTGAAAGAAAGGAAGGGGAAAACATACCCACATTAAATTATAAAATGTCTTCCCTAGGCATTTGTTGAAAGTGAAGCGCAGAGGAGGAGGTGACTAAAATGCAAACGCAAATTGGAGAGATGGCAGGGAAATGGATTTAGAAGAGACGGAAGGAGCGTGTGCAGGGGACAGCTGGTGAAGTGGAGCCAGAGATGGAGAAAGGGCTAGAGAGGAAGAGCTCAGGTGGAGTCGTCAGTACACCAGCGTCTTCTCTCTTGACAAGAATCAGTGTTACAAGAGTAATGCTGTCAGCTCTCTGTACACTTAACATGAGGGGTTGGCTTCTGATGGATTTCAAATGGGAATGACAATAAGAATCGGGCTGATTCAAATAAGGCAGGGATTTCCACAGCAGCTTCTTCTGGTTAATCCTCTGCAGCGGCTGCTCGCAGAGTGGAACAGAAAGCGTTTGCAGCAGACTTGATGTTCAGCTTACCCAACGAGTCTTCATCACTTTCAACCAGGGATTGAAATTAAAAATTCATTATTAAAAATGCATTATTTCATTTTATTGTCTACTAGTTCATGAGTGCAAAACCTGAAGGAAGCAGATGCACTTAAACATGATGGATGATAAGCAGGCTTTATTACAACAGATAATATTCTTACAACATTGTGCCTTCTTCAGGGATGGAACGAGTAAAATCAAAGCTATTTTTTGTTATTACATCTGGGAGATCCACATGATCTAAACAGAAAAAAATAAGAACATGATATAAAGAATTGACGAATCCATGTTCTCATACTGAATGAGCTCTGTAAGTGTGATATACTTTCAGACATCAATATTTCCATCTACTAAAAATACTATTTCGCATTTAAGAGAAGCCTTTTGTTGCAAAAGCAGCTGCTGGCATTAAGCCTAAGCTGGGTATCCTTCAAACTGAAGTGCTCCTGCCTCCTGCTTCCTGTATACGTTGTAATCACTCGCACATGTTCCACTGTAAAATAACAATGTCACTTGGAGAACATTTCTGTTGCAAGTGCTTCACAGTGCAGTGGTTGGAGCTGACCCTTAACTCGGGCGGTGTTGAGTGCCATACTCCCTGCCCACTCAGTTATAGATGATGACCACATGGGGGGAAACGGTCATGGGGTCTGCGGGGAGTTGTCATTCTCACAGGAAGCACTTAGAGCCCTGAACTCATGGCCTCCGAAAAGCCTGTGCGGTAACACTCATAGTTTTCTGAGAGGTGTTAATCACCCTTAACTGTACTGACTCAAATGTGTAAATTGCAACAAGTATTGAAAGCTGGCAATTGCTTTTTTTGCGGTTTGCTTTATTTAAATCAGATATTTCCTAATTCAAATAATATGTTGTACCATTTTCCTATGTTTTTGTACGGATGTATGGCTGCAAACATAACCTATTCATTTGAATAGGTTAATTTTGTATAAAGAATAAATTATCTTCTAGAAAATTAAGGAATTACTTTGAGGTATTTTTTGGTATGAGTGGTATTTAGGAGTCTTTTGCTATCTCACGATTTTGATTCTCAGTGACTTCAAATAACTGCCTGTTGGTCGGCTCAGACTATATTTTTATAAACGTGCATAACAAACACAAGTTGTATACAAATTAACACGGTTTCCTTACCACAACTTTGGCTTTACAAGATAAGTGTGTATCAGAAGGTACATCAGTTATTTTATTAATAAAAAAAGTTTTAAAAAATTGATTTTTAGAAGTTGTATCCACTCTCTTACAATATTAATGGTTTGCTCCACACCTAGTTGTATAGGTGCTGTAACTTTGGTGTGTTATTGCCACAGTAAATCTAAAGAACTCAGCGTTAATGTTAAGTGGTGTCTTCCTATTCTGCAAAAGCCGCTGTATATTCTTGCTGTTCAAATACCTGCTTTGAAATATTGTACTAATATCACTGCGAAGGGATACAGAGGGAGTGAGAGTTCAGAGACGAAGCACTATAAGGCTGACAAGTCATATGTGACGTCTTCACAACCCCTGATTTAGACACCACCTCTCCCTTCTTATACACAAACAAAAACACAGTGTACTGGATGGTGGAGCCCTACTTTTACTAACACCCTCCTCAGCCAGTCTGCACTCTAAGAAGGCATTTGTTGAGTTCAAAACTAACTTTAAATGCCGTCTTTTCACGTGTCTGTGTGTGTAACATGGCAGTCGTGACTAAAACAAAAGCGTGGAATACAAAAAATGGACATGAAGTCGAGCGGTGCCTTTTTTTTTTGTGGAGAGAGAGAGAGAGAGAGGTGGCAAACCTTCCCTCTGCTCATGGCTTCCAGGAAGAGTTGTCACTCCGCCATGTCACTTTGTCACTCCCTCCTCCTCCTCCTCCTCCTCCTCCTCCTCCTCCTCCTCCTCCTCCTCCTCCTCCTCCTCCTCCTCCTCCTCTTCTTCTTCATCTAATTTCCAACCTCCTCTCCTCCATCCATCATTATCCTCCTCCGCTGCATGGCCTCCACCTGTTCTGCACCTGCAAACACCGTGCCCTGCTCCTTCACTAAATGTGTGTGTGTGTGTGTGTGTGTGTCTTGCACTTCCCTCCCTTCCTCCCTCCCTCACTTCCCCCCTTTGCCTTGTGATTTGTGGTGAGCCTTGGAAAGACCCTGGTCGATGAGGGGCGACACGGGGGGGAAACGTGGTTGTGACGTGGCTGTGGGAATGGGGACAGGAGCAGCTCTGAGGGAGAGGAGGAAATGTCAGTGTAGCAAGAGACTCAGCGCACACACACACACACTTCTGACTGTACCGACACCTCAGCACTCTTACACACTTCACTAAGTTCAGAGCAGCACCACTGACATCACCCAAACGCCTACCTTTCTCGGTTTCCTTGGCATTACCCTTTCTTCCTTCTCCTTTTTTATGCAGTATCTATTTCCCCTCTTGGCCTCTCTTACACACTGTTCTCTTTTTTTTTCAATTCTCAACCATATTTCCTTTCTTCCTTTTTTTTTCTCCCTCTCTCCCCACCTGTCCTCCCTCCTGCAGAGCCCTCAGTGAACCCATCCAATGCCGGCGTGGTGGCGGGAGCTGTGATTGGCTCCCTGCTGGCTCTCCTTTTGGTCGCCGCTCTCATCGCCGTGCTCATCACCCGTAGCCGCCGGCAACAGCAGGGTTACCGCGCCAATGACGGCAGCGACATGAAGACGCGCATGTTCGGCGGAGGCAAGAAGGCCAGCAAGAACGGCACGGGCGGAGGCAACGGGAGCGGAGTTGGAGTTGGAGGCGGAAACAACAATGTGCCGATCTACGTCTACGATCAGGGCTCCTCCCATCCGGGCCTCGGAGAGAAAAACAACCACCACCAGCCGCTCACCATGGGGGGCGTCGCCATGACACCCACCGCCCAAGATATCCTGCTGAGCAACGAGCTAGATGACGGCGAGAGGAGGAAGTTTGACGAGCTGGAGGAGGATGAGAGGTATGATAATTTCACCGGAGGCGCCCCCATCCTTCAGCTCCGCCCGCCACACGACCAGGACGATATAATTGGAGACTACATGGATGACGACATGGAGTCCCAGCGAGATGGATCCGTCATCTCACGGACTGCTGTCTACGTATAGAGGAGGAGAGGAAAGGAAAGGAGGAGGAGGAGAAGAAGAAGAAACAAGGAGGGATGGAGGATTCTTCGCGAGGATTTTTTGGCTCCAGGGTCTCGGCCCTGTTCGGATGGAGAAGAGAAAATGATATCACTTTTAATTTTTCGAGAATTGATCTTAAATATAGCCTATTATTAATCACAGTGCTACCCCAGAATGAACTGAGCCGACAGGAGGAAAGCATATTCTGGTCCCTAAGAACTGAAAAATCAAAGACAGAAAACAAACCACTGCTCATGCTATCGCTATCACTGGGACCTTGACATGCTCTTGACAGACAGACTAAAAGAGAAAAACGATGTAGTGTGGGAGTAGGATAATAGCATCATGATACAAGCTCGGCTAAAGCAGAAGAAACTCTCTTGCATGTTCACTCCTATCTTCACCAACAGTGTTGAAGTGGTTGTCAAGCAGTTAGTTAAACATACATGCCTGCTTCTCTCCCGTGGTGAACCTTCATGTATTGTGCTGTGACAGCTGGTGGACACTTTGTAATTATGGCTGGGTTGGGAGGAAAACATTTAGAGGTATACTTACAGTATTCATCAGGAGATTTAGCTAAGAAAAGAAAAGTATTTGCTGCTGGCTAGCTCTCATTTCCGCTCTCGCTGCCTTCCTCTCAAACTGCTCCACAAGCTATCGACATCCTTGTGTGCTGCACACATACAGCAGCATCGGACTCTAACTATGAAAGTTTGAGTTCTTAACAAGGTACACACACATGCAAACGTTTGTACTGTGCCTGGAGGAACGAGACGGTGAACAAGAGATGAGGGAATGAGGTGTAGCCGATCTGACAGGGTCAAGGGACGGAGAGAGGAGGGAGAGGAGTCTCTTCCTCCTCATCCTCGTCTCCTCAGAGCGCTCCTGACAGGAGGAGCTTGATTGGTAATGAGCCGTGAAGTCACTCGCTTAGCCGGCAACAACAGATTGCCACCACTTATCGTTTATGACGTGACGATTCCCCCCCCCCCCCACACACCTCTATCTCTCTTATCATTCATCCGTCTCTCTCTTTTCATCCCCCTCTCCCAGTGTTTTATGGGGAGTTTATGATTTATCCAGTAACGTGGAGGTCAGGGCCACAGAGAGCAGCCGAGTATTTTACTGCTCCTGATGTGTCAAATGCCCCACTTACTCTATTCTTACTCTATATCCTGCCCGGACCCCCCAGGACTGACTCTCTGATCCACCTGGAGGGCCATGTTCGCTCCAATGCCTCCTGCAGTATTTTGTCAATGGCCTGAAACCCCACCCCCCAAAAATACAACCACTTGAGATCTCATTGTCAATGAGATCAGGTAACATTTCTATCCATTAAGGGGTGTTGTTAAATGTAGAGAATTGATCGGGAGACATAAAAGGTTTCATCAACTGCGAACCTTCGGGAGTCATATTGACTAACAGGCATCAAGCAGTGAGATGGCCCTTTACGATGTGGCTTCAGGGCTGATTGTCTCCTGACTGTTAATGTATCCTCATAACGAGCCACCGGAGGCTCGCCCGGGCAAATATTACTCCGCGGGAACCGCACGCTGCTGTCTTGGAGGCAGAGCGTTTACATCCGGCATGCGTCACTGTGTCTATGTAGCCACTAGATGACTGTGATGGACAATCTTTGAGAGAAGCCCTACTGTAGCTCCTCTAATCGGGCTTTCCCTGACCTTTCTAATCAAATCCTTCGTGACCCACTGGGAATCTGGTGAGGGCAGCTCTCGATGAGTGTACTGCCCTCTTATAAGGCCTGCCAAAGATCTGGGTTGCAGCTTGCTGCAGGTCATGAGGTCAAATGCAGAGCGACCCGCTGCCAAGAGCCAGGATGACTTTGCCTGCCTGCATTTCCTCTCATAGCAAATTATAACCTTGAGCTATAGAGGTGGGAAACACTTGCATACACTACATGTATCCTTATAGGGCCAGACAGTCCATTGTGAAAGCTGTTGACCTTCAAATAGGCGGAGAGAGGCGGAGAAGTGGCTTTTAGTGTTCGAACGCGGTCTAGCATATTGTAAGCCAGTGTTCAATAAGATTATCGTCTGATGGCCTTAGCTTATATATAAACGCAGCTCCAGTCAACCCGCTGCAGTTCATTAACTGAACCCAGCTGGTTTGTGACAACCACTAAAAAAAAAATTACTTATGTATTACTTATTTTTGCACTTGTGTGTGTCACCGCTACAAAGAGAAATATAAGTGTAATACTTGGTTTTGGGGTCAAAATAGCGATAAGGGACAAAACTGTTGTATGTACATTTTGGTGTGAGGTATCTGTGAACTATATATGTAAGCATCTTTATTTTTCTTGTGAAAATGTGGATATTTATAACGATGTAAATATCAGATCGATGGAGCCAGTGTTGTGGAATAAAGAAGGCGTTCTGGGTCAGCTAAACCTAAAGTTCAAATGTCTCAGAGGGCAGTCAGAATGTAATTTTTAACCTAATGAATACCTCGGCGGTTTGGGTGTTAAAAAACACTGAACCGACTGAGCTGAGTTGCCTAACAGTCGATTTGTAACGGTGGGAAAAATTATATAATTGTATAATTTTTTTTGTGAAAGTTAACATTGCCTGCAATTCCACAAAATAAGCACACCGTGTTTTTTTGCACAATTGGCTTCTCCTTGACAGACACCCTGCACAATGCAAAAATACCCACAATACTTATAATTTATCAGGTAGACCGTAACCACACAAGCAGGCGGTGGTGTGTGTTGACTCAGCTCTGTGTGTGTATTCAGTAGTGTGTATTTTCGTGATGCTCGGAGGCTTTGGGACATCTCTCACTGCCATTGGGGCTGTAACCTGAGTAGCCTCTATTTATGTCACCATGGAAAACTGGCCAACTGAAGATATTATTGTGCGTTTCCAAAACACACTTACTCGCACACACACATACTGTACATATACATAATGCAGAGAAACATTCTCCCACACACAAACACCCCTCAGTCACTCTCATTATGCTCACTCCCACAGCCAGACTGTGCCGAAGACACCTCATACCTGACAACTTCGCCATCTCCTGACATAAGCCCACACAAATTCGCTCGCATAGCCGCACACACACACGCACACACTTCTTCCTCCGCTTCTTGCTCAGTGGCTCCGTCAGGACATATACTGTGTCCTGTTACAGTGAAAAGAGCCGCAATGTGATGTCCCCCCTGCTCCACCGCTTTCTATTCTTCAAGACCTCACTCTGAAACGACCACATTGAAGGGACATTCACATTCAGGGACACACACACCTTTCACCCGGTGCTGGAGAAACGGGCTTTTGGACCCTTTGTCCATTCCACTTCGAGGAATATAGCTTTCATAAAAATGCCACTGTGCTGACCCGCTCCACCTCCCGTCTCACTTTGAATGCTTTTAGAGCCGAGACTTCCTACTCGCCTCCAAAATGTTTGTTTTTTTCAACTTTTCTCACTTCAGCAACCTCCGCGACCGCCTCCATAAACACACACACACACCGTTGCCACCCACCTCAGCATCAACGTTAAAGGCTTGTCAGACAAAATGCTTTTAGAGGAATCCACGATCCCAGCCCGGGTCTAGCACAAGGTTAGGTAGTCAAAACACCCAATATTAATCTTTATTTTCCCAGAAAACCGCATACTGTTGCTATCTCTTCGGTTCCAAACATTTGATGACTAATCAAAGCCTTAACATCTCCCATCTCACTTGCAAAAAAGAAGGAATTAAAGAGAAAAGTTCCCTGTGTACATAGTATAAATATATAAATATGTAGCAGAGAAAAAGATATTACTAATTTATGGTGTCACGTTTGTGTATTTCTCAGTGACAGCAAGCATGAAGGATTTATTTTCTCCTATTACAGTTTCCTCTCTTCTGTTATTTTGCAGTGCTTTATAATTTATGTGCTTTATTCTTGACTGCTGCGCAGATTGCTGCCAAAACTGGCAAATGTGCTTCTATACAAATGAACTGTACACACATCAAACCAGTCGTACCCCCAAATGTGCTTTTTATTATTGACTGCTGTGTAATCGTTGGTTTTTCTTTTTTTGTATTCCTTTTTTTTGTATTTCCTATTTTGTGAAAAAAATAACTAAGAAATTAGAATTGTTGTCACCATTTTGTCATGTCTTTCTATATTTTTTCGTATTTTGTTGCTATTAAAGAATTCTTGATTTTTGAAATGTTTCTGCCGGTTGTATCTGCCTCTCCTTTCCTTCCCGTCTGTCCATTTAACACCTGAGGTTAGTTTGGGTGACTGAGGAGCCAGATGGATTAGAGGTGTCAGTAATTGATTCTCACTGATTAGATTTATAGATTAATTGATCGGGCCTCTGTCTCGTCAGCCATCTTTCACACTTCAGACACCCCCACCCTCTTTTCACTCATTTCCTGGTCTGGCTGTTTCTCTCATTCCAGTTTTGATAAATCGGGGCTTGTGTCAACAGAATTGCGATAACACGCTCGTGGGAAATAGCAGAAGCCATTTTGTGTTAAAGTATTGTCCTGTACTGGAGCTCCACCTCCTCCCAGTCTCTGTGATTCATACATGTTTCTCTGGTTGGCTAAAGTTAAGGGGCCACTTCTAAAGTGTACATTAACTTTCTTATTTAAAGACCTATATAGTATATAATCATTATATTCAGCCGTAGCTAAATGTACTCTCACACAGAGAGAAAAAGGTTGAGGAATGTGGTGCCGTAGCTGCAGTGGTTATCCTGCAGGGAGGCAGTTTGTGTTTTCAGTTGGGGAATGTGCAGGCCAAGCTGAAACTCTGTGAATGGAGCGCCTCTCAAAGGCTGCATTGTTTGAACTCTGACTAAACCAAACGGGTTTGGTCAAATTTTAACAGAAGGGCATGTAGAGGGGTCTGTCTCTATGTGTACATGTTTATGTATGAATGTCCTGGCATGAGAGAATGTGTGTTCTCATGTGTGAATGTATGTGCACCTGCCTTATTTGGTTTTTCAAACAAGTACCCCCTCTGTGCCGCCGCTAAAATGATACAATCAAATTGTGCTGTTAGCGTCCCCGCGTCTGTGACAGTTGGTTTATGTCGATTATGGCAGCGCGCCCTCGCTGTCTGCCCGGTGCTTTGATGCCGTCATGTATCTCTGTCATCCTGGCTCCTTGTCACACTTCATTTTTGTTGCAGGCTTCTTCTGTCAATGCACAGCTATTTACTGAGTCCAGCCCACCATCTGGCCTCTCTAATTGCTTTGGATTTCAGGCTGGCGAGATAGAGCACTTACACACACTCCACACACAGACACACTAGGTTGTTCTAGCTGAATGTGAAAGACAGCAGAAAGGCTTTTAAGCTGCAGCTCGGCTGTGCAACACTTACATTTTGGTCTCTGTTTGTCACCGAAAAAAAGTGTTCGCCTCATGTGGGAGCGGTGACCCTGTAACGCAGAACCTGTCCTATTTGAGCTCCTAGCAAATAACCTGGATCTGAAGCCAAAGCGACAGCAGCTACGCCGAGCTCCACCGCCGTGTTCAACATTAGCTTTCAGTGATCAGACATGGTGCCGTGCCCGGGGCAATACAGGCTAACTGGTAGTGTGTGTGTGTGTGTGTGTGTGTGTGTGTGTGTGTGTCCACGTATGGGGACAAAATGGAGGTCCCCATGAGGGGAATCATTCATTTTAGGGTGAAGACTTGGTTAGGGTTAGGCATGTGTTGGTTAAGGTTAGGTCCCAGGTAATGCATGTAAGTCAATGTAATGTCCCCTGAAGTGATGTATACATTGTGTGTGTTCTCTGCTCATACAGCGTGATAAACAAGTATGTGCATGTTGTGTGTTTCTGTTGTGCAGCTCAGATTCCAACAGCATGTTTGTGTGGGAAAGTGTTTATGAGCTAAGTGTTATCAGTTTGTGTATGGAGCGAAAAGGGTGTGATAATGTGTGTGCACTGTTTCACACATGCATGTTTGTACGTGGCTGTATATTTAACTTCCAGTTCTGGCAGCTACAGCCGCAGTGTTGATTAAACATCTGATGGTGTGAGTGTGTGTGGATTAGCACACAGACCCACTTTAGGCTCTCTCTGCTGATAACTGCTCACACAATGCTCCTCATTTAACCTCTCACCCTCCGGCTCCAGACCTAACTAATAAATCACAGAGAGGCTGATGAATTGCCTGGACTGTTGCATGGATTTCTGAGTGATGGATGTGGTGACCTGGCCCTTCACAGGGATTAAAGTGAGTGTCTTCTTCTGACTTCAATTATTAAAGTAGGCTCCTGCATATTTTTTTTGGCTTACTAGCGCATTTTGATTTTGCCTGTGGTGAATCATCACATCTCCAGCAGTGTGTGTCTTGTTACTGGAGTATTTCTATCAAACAGGGTTACTTTTAACTGGCTCTTCTTTTAATTGACACTGGTATGTTTCTCATTATTTTTTTATTCCGGCACATTGGATCTGACTCACAGCGCAGTTGTGAACACACTCCTTCAGTTTAAGGACAATGACCCTAAGCATGTAGAGGAGGTAATTAAGCAGAGTTATGGTCGAACTGTGGAATGTTCTTCTCTGGCCAAGTCAGTCATCTGACCTCTGAAGATGAGACTGAGGAAGGCTCTGGAAGACGCCTGGCAGCTCATCAAAAGGAGAGATAGCAAGTGTCTGGTAAGGTCTGTGAGTTTAGAGGACTTTCCAAAGTTTGAGTTAACTTCTCCAATTGATTTATTTTGGTACTGTTCGGAAACCACATCAAATGTATCATTATGTAATGTAGTACATTTCAGCTGCACAATATGTGGGTTTTGTTATGAAAAGCCTGGATTTGAACTATATTTGCAAAACCTCTGTGTATGTTGCATTCACTTCCACATACTCTTCTGCCTAAATGAACTGCAGGTCTTAAGACTTTCAAATGTTAAAATGATTTACCCATTCTGTATTTAAAGTTGTGTAGAAAACATATTTAACCCTTAATCATTTCAATAACCACTACTGGAAATATTAAATTGAGCAATTGGTTAACAATTGTCGTGAACAATTTGTATAGAACGTAGCTCTGACCGGTAACGCTATGGTTGATGCAGTCATTTGAAGACGTATAGCTTGTGTTAACTTGAGTATAAATAGTCTCTGGTCTTGGCATACTTATTGTTAATTTAATAAGCTGTGTGCGATATACTGAATTGAGTATGCAGTATGTAAGTTAGAGATTTCAAACACAGCACTAGTGTCCAAAGCCATGCAAACCATGCTCCTCTGAGAGAAACTAAATGCTAATTTCAACATGCTGGGACAATGCTAACGTTTACTATGGTCTTAGTTTGTTTAAACTCTATATATATAGTCTAATGGGAATGGCATTAGTTTGGATTACGACCAAATTCCAAACTAATCCTGTCCTGATAGGGCTGCACAATAAAAGGTTTATGGGTCACTAAAATGAGGTTAAGGCCCATACCACAAACCCACAATATTCACTGTTCATGCATTCATACATGTCATACCCTCCTCTCTCTCCATACTTTCTCTGGAGAATATTGATACAACACAAAAATCCTTCTATACAATATAAGGTTTCATTTCTCACTCAAAACCAAATGTGGACCTCGTGGCAGAGCTATAAGAAAACTCTAGGCGTCATCAAAGTCAATGTGACTCATTCTCTGGGGAACATTTCTGCACAGGATTTCATAGCACTCCAAGTTGAAATACTTCAGTCTTGTTCAAAGAAGGGGACCGACCAGCATGGCTAAAAATCCTTACAGTACCAGCATCGTATTTGACGTTGATGTCAAATAAAGATGTCAGTGGGTGGATGCCGGCCGGCAGAAACATCACGTAACTACCACTCATCCACTTATGCTCTGGAAACAGGCATTACAACGTTAATGGAAATAGTAGTTCTTCCACACCTTAATATGTACTAAAATGTAGTGTCAAATATTGTGCGAGATGGTTTGATTGACAACATCAATTTCAACGAAAATGTCCTGTCAAAGTATTGAACTCAAATAGAACAACAAAAGAGTGCTTTTCAAGAAATACCACAGTGGTAAATGCATTTCTTCGATCGTATAGAGTTGTGTTACCGTGTTGAGCAAGGTGAAAGCAAAGTGCAGAGGAAGTTACATTTGTAAATAATCACAGGAAATTGGAAAACGTATCATTCCTCTCCCTCAAACGGTAAATGCTTACATCGAATCATCTGACTTCTGGTCATGCAGGTTTTTTTCAGATATGTGTGTCTGCTATACCCTTACACACACATACACACACATACACACACTTTTATAAATACACACCGAGGCAGACGGACAGGGGGAAGTGGATTCTCCTGTTTCCCCTGGAGGCCCCTGGGCGTTTACTCTTCCTGTCCCGCGCTGATAGGCTGGAGGTATCTGGGTGGTTGCAATGCATTGTTGGCAGGATGAGGCACGTCTCCCTCGGGGTGGCACATGCTCAGCCGACTGCTGGGAGGGCAGAGAAGGGCAGGGAGCGAGGGGGAGAGGCAGTATGGACGGAGGGCAAAGAGGGAGAGATGGTGGGAGGAGAGAGAAAGGGATGGTGGGTGAGATCTGATGCCTTGTGTGTTGGCAAAAGCAACAGAGATAGCCGGCATATGAATTTAACAGTGACTAATGCATGATTGAATAAAAGGGGCGAAGAAAGAAGAAGAAGAGGAGGAGGGGTCTTGGAGGAATTGGAGAGTGAAAGGGCAGAAATCAGAGGGAGAAAGGGAGGAGACGCCTGATTAAAGATGGAGTGGAAGACGGCTGAGTGAAGGGAGGGGGACCAGGAGGGCCGAGTTGTTGCAGCTGTGTTGATTTAGCTTCTCACATCAGATTGTGTTTCTGTGAGGAGTGAGTGAGTGAATGTGAGTGTGAGACCCCCCTCCACACACCTGCACAAACGCCCAACATCCCCAGATGGAAGTTTGCAGAGCGATTGCTTTGCGAGTTAATAAGCCCCGAAAGATCTTCATGCTGAGACTTACCTGTAACAAATCCTGTTCTAGACGATAGAAAAACAAAGAACATTACGTGAATGCATTATGACCACCATGTGTGTGAGTGTACGTGACTGGGTATGAATAAAATAGATTTATATCAGGAGAATGGTTTGTTGCTGCTCCTAAGAATAGATTCAGTGACGGAAATGATTTTGATGCTGATGCAAGCCTGTGTGTGTGTGTGTGTGTGTGTGTACATGCGTGTGTGT